AAATAATAATAAATAAATGTACGTCAACATTTCGTTCTATATTATTCTGTGGAATTTTAATGCAAAAACAAACCAAAAAGTATTTAGCAAAGTATTTTTTTTCTTTTAAACAAAAATATATTTTAAGAGTGATTCAGCGTCGAATATTTTTGTTGTTTGGTTAGCCTGCCTGTTTGTGATTAACTAATGAAGCAGAATTTTGCTATGATAATGGAATGATATTTTTTGTTTTTTTTTTTTTTTTATTATTGTACCTATGACCAGTGTGAAAAGGAAGTGCGAAATTATAAACAAAATACATACACACCTACCGACATACATACAATGAAGAATATCAATTAAATACAAAGTGCAAAGAAACAAAATGAAAAACGAAAATCAAAACACAATACAAAGGTTTGAAAAATACAGCAACAACAAATTTGCGAATATTTGTGTTAAATAATCAAAATAATTGAAAAAAAAAATAGAATTCAATATGTGTAAATATTAAGGATATATAATTGCATAACTAAACAGATGTGATTTTGTTTAAATAATTAATGGAGAAATTTTGTTTTCTACATGTGTATTTTATTGTTTTTAAAATACAACAAAAAATGTGTTAAAATGTGAAAATTCTGGATATAACCATTAAAAAAAAACAAATGGATTAAATAAATTCCAAAATATCCAAAAAATGTTCTTAAATAAAATTCCGTTTATTTTCGTTGTTGTTATGAAAACAAAACCACAAAATATTTTTACTTATCAACACTAAAGAATGCAAAATAAAAATAGAAAAGCCAAAAAATATACAGTTGATACCGGCTATAATGACCTACAGCTGACGATATTTTGAATACACTTATAATGAGCAAAAAATATAAACCTAAATGTCTTTTGATAATTTTTTCACAAACGCCCACCAAATAGAATTCTAAAAAAATATTTGATTTTTGCGAAATTGCAACAACAAAACAAAAGAAAAATTGTGTATTGTGTAAAATTTATTAGTGCTAATATTGACCAAGGGTCAAACACACTAAATGATAAAAAATAAAATAAAAAAAAATAATAAAAAAATAAGAACAAAAAACAAGTGCAATATTTATAAGAAGACCAATGGAGGAATAATAAAATTTACCCAACAAAATTATTTTAATAATGTTTGTGCTCAGCGTTTGAATTTAAATGCTGTAAAAACGATACAAAAATTTGATTGATTTCGAGACCATCGAACCACCAATACTGGAAAATACGTACAAGAATTGAACAACAATTTTGTGATGTTTTCAAAATTTTGGAGTTATATGAAATGTAACACTGCTTTGCTCATCTGTAATCCATTCGATTTACGTTATTGTTTTCAAAGTTCAAAATAAACAGAACTCTATTTCATTACAAATTGAAGAGAATAATTTGACGGCCAACTACACATTTTTTTCACCAAAAAATTGTTTTAATGTAAAAAACTGCATTACTGACTTCGCCGTTATTTTCGACTTTCGACCGTTGAAACGAATTCGTAGGAAATCGCATAATCGGTTTCCAGTGTTGCCAGTTTAAGGGATTTATCCCCAAATTGGGGATTTTTGTTTGGAAATGGAGATTCGTTTTTTGGTTTGGATATCTGAGGATTTGTTGGGGATTAAGTTTTCGATATAATCAATTATCTTGCGATATGATTTTGAGGAGGAAATAAAATTACAGTCCTAATTGTTATCGGTAAAAATTAAAACGGCATGTTTTAAGTACAGTATAAACTTGATAATCCGGACCTCGACAAACCGGATTATTCGGTAATCCGGACTGCATTTCACAACCCATTGCGTATCCTATAATCCGGATTGATTGACCTATTTGACTCAAAAATCCGGATTGTAAAGATACGTTACTTTTTATTTTAATAAAAAAATCGTTGCAAATTTAATTGAAAATGGTACCTATTATATTAAAAGTTCATATTTTTGAAAATAAATAATTTTCATTTTTAATAAAAACATAAAAATAATTAAATTATCACCAAATTAATATAAATTTAAACCAATTAATAAAACTCGATAATCCGGAAATCTCGGTAATCCGGATTGCGGTCTGCAATCAATTATCCGGATTATCGAGTTTTTACTGTATTTACATAAGTATAAAAATACTCTGCTAATCAGTTGAACAACCGAATTAAAGTTGTAGAAGGCATGACGAAAAATATAATTTGGAGATGATCTTTCAACCAGTTTATTTTCTTTTTAGAGGAAAGTTTATTTATCTTAGGGTTCTGCTGAGTCAAAAGTATTTGAAGGACTAGTATTAAATTTGATTTGTGTACCAACAAGCAATGTTCACGTAGAACACGTTTTTTCCATTAAACCCATTCGTGTAGGTTCTGGCGCAGAGCTAATTTCAATATATTGGGGATGATAAATTATTTTGGTGATTTTTGAGGATAACACATCTTGGGGATTCCGGCAACGTTGTCGGTTTCCAAATATTGACGACATAACCACAGACGAACATTTTTAATTATTTGAAAAATCGTTCTAAACCAAATGCGACTTAACCTCGACTTCTACACACCTCATATTTACTAGACTTCGCTCCGATCTAGTTGACTTTTTAGCACACAATTTTTAGCAATGTATTTAGCTTTCAAAGAAAGGTTCAAGAAAAAAAAGACGCACAAGAACTCGAGAAAGAAGTTGGATATGTTTTACAAAAATATTCTTCATTAATTGTTTGATTTAAGAAATGTGATTTAAAAAATAACCCGTTATTCGTTCATTTACCATGAACAAAATGTAATCACGCCATAACTCAAAAACTTGACCTGTGAGGAATTTGTCCTTTTGGAAAAAACGGGGTTTTTGACTGCAACCCGTTTTCCAGGTTATTTGACCCAGAAGTTGGGATACGGATCCGATTAACTAACTAAAATGGGTATTATTTTAAAGCTTAGTGAAATACCTTTCCATTGAGGGGAAGGGCTTATCTCAAAACGTTTGAGAGATGTAGTAAAAAAAGGTTTTGGACCCCTTTTTGTAAAAAACACCCTAAAAGTCGAACTTGGGTCCATTACAGTCCACCATCAATATTGACAAGACTGCGATTTGCGCTTTCCAAATGGTGTTATATGTGTCTATATCTGTTGTGGATCAAAATATATGGGCTGTACCCGAAATTCGGGTTTAAATAACCAGACACACGGGTATGTCCCCTACGATATAATATGAATAAAATGGGTATCATTTTAATGCTTATGAAAATACTATTCCATTAAGTGGAAGGGCTTATCTCAAACCGTTTGGGATTTTTTTTTTTTTTTTTTTTTTTTTTTGAAAAACTCCCTAAAAGTCGAACTTGGGTCCATTATAGTCCCACCAATCCTGACTCCCACAATGATAGACTGCAATTTGCGCTTTCCAAAACGGTGCATCGGTGTCTGTATCTGTTGTGTATCAAAATATATGGGCCGTACCCGAAATTCCGGTTTAAATAACCGGGCAAACGGGTACGTCCCCTAAGAAATAATATATCCCCATAATTAGAGTAAAAACACCGATCTGTGGACAAATTAAAAAAAAAACTAGAGTTAAACAATAGTTTTTATTTTAACTTTACTATTTTCTTCGGCTACTTTTCTAATACCGGTTATTTTGAATAAATGGTTTTTGATTTGCAAAAAAAAAAAAAAATTGACAACAAATACTACGCCAAATATTTTCATGAAAACAAGACATTCAAATATATACGCCAAATGAAAAATACACCAAGCCTTAGTACAAATGCCAATTTCAATCCCTACACACAAGTTAGGACAAGGTATAGAACAGAGATTAATTTATATTTTCTAATCCCCTGAAGAAAACACACATCTCCAGATTAAATTAGCACAGCGAGTCTCAATGTCAGAACCCTTTTTGTCGTTGTTGTTTATTAGCCAAATATTTTCCAACCTAAAAACATGTTTTGTGTAAAATTTACAAGATTTAGATCAAGTCGGTTGGTTGGTATTAGCGGTTCGGTTGTTTGTCACTCTGTGTGTGTGTGTGTTTGAATGCGTTTCATGGGAAACGGAAGTAATTTCATGTTGAAAATTGTATTGTTGCTGCAACTTTTCTGCTTGTAAGCCGGCCACAAACCCTTGAGGTGTTTATTTTTGTCTCTCATTCGGTCGGTCGTTCGGTCGGTTCTTATGTCTGGTGTTTTTCCCTCTTCTTTTGCTGCTACTGTTTTGTCTGCATTTGAACACGCATTAGCGTAATTTGTTTGTTTTCTTTGCTTTGACGACGATGACGACGTCCCCAAAGTCTGGGGAGCAACAAATCTAATTTAATGGTCAGATTCGGTTTGTAGCGGTAGCTGTTGTTGTTGCTGTTCTTGTTAGGTGTTAGATCTTTTGGTGGTGTGTGTCTGTGAATATTTTCTTGAACAAAGACATTTTACTTTGTTTTGACTTTTATTTTTTTTTATTATTATTATGTGAGCGACTTGCTTTGTGCGCTTTTCTTGGGGTAATAAAACGGAAACTTCCCAGGGGTAACATTTTCAAAGGAATCCAACTTTTCAATGAAGACATATTCGAAGAATAATTGCATGTTGTTGGTTTCGGTTTCGGAATCGGTGTGATGTTTTAGTTGGCTGCCTGACCAGCAGCTGACTGACTGACAGACAGACGGGTTTTTTGGTTAAGAAATCTCTGCCACGAAGCTCTTGACTTCTTCAGTTTGATTTTGTTAGCCTTGTTGTTTGCACATGACAAAACGCTGAGCACAAACAAACACAAGAAAACAAGTGAAAAAAGCCGACAAAGTGTAAATTAATGTCGCAAATATTTTAACATCAATGAAATGTTTCTCATTTTTTTAGAAATCTAAACAACTTGACCAAGAAATAATATTTAAAAAAACAACAAGAAATACATTGTGATATTAAAGATCCAAAACATAAAACTTTAAGAAACTTGTTTCCAAAACAATAGTGTTCATTAAATATAAAAACAAAAATAAAAGAAGAAGGAGAACAACCACACAACAATAAAGAAATACTCAACAATTTGGCGTTAAACCCTCTCACCATTAACCAACCACCATCATCATGGCTTCTTTGCAACAGAAACGGCCTTCAATATCAAATTGGTTTAGCTCTCTAAGACGACAACCAAAAAATAAGAAATCTTCCAATTCTCTCTACGATGTGGATAAACAATATCAACGTAGTTGCATAGATCTGCCCTCCAGTACATTCTATGTGAATCAAAAACCATTTAGTCCCGCGACCGCACCCGGTACTTCGACCGATAATTTAATTGATAATGAGCGCAAATCGAAGGCAGCATCAATATGTGCCCGTTGCTGCTGTGCCATTACACCAAAATCACGTTCCCACACCCCGCCTCTATCACCCAATACGGTTACGAGTAGTAGCAGCAGTAGTAATGATACCAGCGCTACCATAACACCGGATTCCACAACGCCAACTACCTGCTCACCACCAAGATCTCCTTCGATTAATCCTTATGCCAGCATAGCTTCGTATAAAACGCCATCGGATGCAACCACGCCCACTACGCCGACTTCGGCGACATTTAAAGAACCACCTCCCTCACCCTATGATAATGTTGTCATACCTCCTGCGATACCAAGTAGTCACTATGGCACGGCGGAGACAAGGCAAAATGTAGAAATTGTACGCCTTGAGTCATCATCAGGCTCTTCGACAAAATCCTATAATGCCACTTCCCCGCCCGCCTCTGCACCCTGCACTCCAAAATCACCTCTATCACAGTGCAACAGCCCGCCCATACTAACACATAAAACCGAATTTTTACGTTCCACTACCATAACCTCAACCCGCACCATTATGGTATCCCGCCCCGTTGAACTGATAATCAGCAGCAAAGGTGAACTGATATCGGCCAAAGGCAAAGCGATCGAGAAAACAGCACGTTCCAGTAGTTTGGGCTGTGTTTTGGACGATCCAGTGGAACATATAATACCCATATCCACACCCACATCACCGTTGAGTGGGTCCACGCCATTGATACTCGACTCTGCCAATAATGAATTTAAATTTATCGATGATTCATCAACATCACAATCGGAAAATGAACGTAATTCTCAGCAAAGCTCCACTGCAATGGATCAACAGCAGCAACAACAACAACAATTCGAATCACAACAGGATAAAGAGAATTACTACTATACACTGCCATCGAAATTCAAAAAAATTTCACGTGAATCACAGCGCTCCATGAGCATTTCCAATGGTATAGGCAAATCGAAAAATGTAAAGGCTGGCCTTTACTATAACAATAATATCGGAAGTTTATGCGATGACTGCCGGACTGTCATCGAAAGAAATCGCAATAATCGTGATATGCATCAGCAGCCAAGCATGATGTTGAGGAATAAGGTAAGCTGGAAATCAAAATGTTTATTTTTAAAAAATCGGAAAAAATATTTACATCTTCACTATAAATGTAAACTTGTCCGAAATCGGCCTTTATAAACCACTGCTCAAATGTGTAATGAGGCCTTTAACCCTCGGATAATTGAGTCGTATAATAAGTGCTGCATAGCGTCTCCATAGAATTTATTTTCCATTAGAATTTATAATGGAACATATTTTTTATTAAATAAATCTATAATTCAGTTCAACTAAATTTTACAAAAATTCTTTCGAAATATTTCATATTAGGCTATATCGACAATAGAATTACATATTAATTTACAGCACACAAGGACATATACCTGTTAACTTCCGCATTTTTTATTAATTAGAAACTGCTAGTATTATTGTTGTAAATCAACTGTCAATATAACCAGATCCTCCTATCGACCATTTCATATACATTCATACTAATACTACCAATTAAGCTCGTTAAACAATAACAAAAAGTTCAAAGAACCCTCTATAAAAAAACCGGCCCCTAACCATACTTTAAAACTTAATTTAGAAGACAACATGAAGAATATATTTCTAATAGAAGAAGAAAAAACCTGTCGCATCATTATCTTTGTTGTTGTTTTTTATCATCCAGTTGTGTTCCCATCTATTAAGTTGTTTTAACATTCCATCGGATATCTATATTGGTAGGTAGCTGACAAGATACCATATCTAAACCATGGTTATAATCAATTATTACTGATTAGATGGAGAAACGCTAAGGAATGAAATAACCCTACCGGTTTTTATTGCGTTCATGCAGAGAGGAAGAGAGAAAGCTCCTCGATGCTGTTTTAATTATGGGGTGATGACAGGTTTTTTGTGTGTTATTTCAAGAGTTTACGGAATCTAACGGAAGACATTCGTCCATGGATAATTTATAATCAAAACTAGTTACACAATTATTTATGTAAAGTAAATTAGAAAAAAATGCTTCGTTTCCCTTCTGAAAATTTTTAAAATTCTGATTAGAGAACTCCACAGCAGGAATGAGAAGTTTCCATGGGAAACATTTTATGGCATCCTCAATGACCAAATTATGGTTGGAAAATATTCAAATTGACATTTTCTGGTTAATAAAGAGTTTAAAGATAAAATAAAAAATATATCACAAACATTTTTAATTTAAATTTTTTCAATCTAATATTAATTTTTATTTTCTTTTTATACATTTACATTTTGTATAAATTCATCGAAAAAGTGTTACGATACATAATTTTTAATTTAACTGCACATGAAAGAAGCTTGATTTATCATATACCTGCATATTTTTGCAGATATCTGCAATATAAGATGGAAGATAAATTTCTAACCATTCTTTGCGAATAGGAAAAAATATTTATCTTTGCATTTTAATGTTATTTGGTAATTTTTTATTGCAGCCTTCTGCAATAACTGCACTGCTAACGGCACATGAAAGAAACTTGATTTATCATATACCTGCATATTTTTGCAGACATCTTCAATATAAAATGGAAGAAAAATTTCTAACCACACTGCGAGTGCGAATAGGAAAAAATATGTATTTTTGCATTTGTATGTTATTTGGTAATTTTTTATTGCTTTCTACACAAGATTTTATTAATAATTCCAAATATTGTGCAGCTAAAATCAAAACTGTGTAAAAAAATATTGTTTTCCTAATATTCAAAAACTAAAATTTATTTTTAAACAGCTACAAATCAAATAAAATTTCACTTCCCATTCATTGCGGATATAAAAATATTGTATGCAGTTATAATTGTGTACGCAGTTATGATAAATATTTTCAATTACTTGTATCGAATCTCTATCTTCTTATATATAAATGTATGTACCTCATATATGTACCTGCATATTTAAGCCGATGTCTTCAATATAAGATGGAAGAAAAAATATTGGTCTTTGCATTTAAATGTTATTCCTTATTTTTTATTGCAGCTTCCTGCACACGATTTTTTTCAATAATTCCAATAATTGTGCAGTTAAAATCAAAACTTTGTAAAAAAGCAATTATTATATGTTTTCATTAATTCATTTAATTTTCAAAAATTAAAATTTTTCATTCATTTTCATTTTCCAATTATTGTGCAGGTAAAATCAATAGAATTGAGAATTTGCAATAATCCTAGGAAGCTTAATACTTCCAAGATCTGGAACTCAGTTTTGCCATAGTTTTCAATGCCTTTCAAATCCCTAGTTCATTAACACCAAAATTCTTGTTTATCAAATCATCAAATAAAAAATTTGATTTGATTAAGGGATCATTTAGTCTAAAATGGTAAATTTTTATAATTTTTGTTACAAGAAATCAACAGAACTTTTTCTAGAAGTTTTTGTCGAAAAATATTGCATAGTTTTCTGACAAATACCCGATTACGAAACACCGTTTTACCAAAGCAGATTGCGGTGCCCATTGTAACTCAAAAGCGAATGAACCGATAAGCATATATTTTGTGGGATCATTCTCCTTGCTCTTACTTATTTAGCTGACTTGTTACAGAACGGTTGTTCCATAAGCCGAGCTTAAAAAAGATTTCCAAGCGCGTCGGTCTTGTGCGCAAGTCTACCAATTTGGAAGACCACGTTCTAAGATGTTGCTCCTTGCTCTTAAGCAAAATGAAAAAAATATGAGAATTGGCAAAGTCAAAATTTCGTTTCCAAAAATCTCGCTCAAACATTTTTTTAAATCTCTATCTTAATGGCAAGATTTGTGTATGTATAATAATCCCACGTAAACATATGTGGATCCGATTATCCGTTGTCGAGTTACCGCTTCCAAAAATGTCATTCCGATTGTCAAACGAATACGATTCTTTGCACAGAAATTGAATAAAATTTATTTGTTGTTTTAAATTTTTATATATGTACATAAATATATTCAAAAACATTGTATATAAAACATTCTTATAAAGAAAGAATTTTGGTGTTGAAATTTTTCTTAATTTATTATTAATTAATTTAAACGTTTCTCGCCACCAATATTTTTCCTATGTATTTCCTTACTCCTATCTAAACAATAAACTAATTAGGAAAAATGTGTATTTCTTTATTTCGCTCACATTTGTCATCGAGTGTGTCCCCATGTTGCATGTCTAGAAGAATTGAAATAATACTAATGTTGTTGGCCGCCACATAGCTGATGGCGAACGCGGACGTTGATACACATTGTGCATCGTAAGAAAAACCACTTGTTTTTTTCTGTCTTGTTGTGTTATGCCCATTTCTTCTGTTGCTTGTCATATGTAATCATGTTTTTATTTTTGATCCTCACCACAACTTTATACCATAAAAAGTTAAATATTTGAATTCTTAGAATAGGAAAAAAAAAACATTAAAGGAATAACATGACATGTAAGGCTTAACTATTTTATTTCTTTTGTTTTTCAAAGTAGATTATATAAAAAAAAATATTGTGTCATTAAATTTTGAAGTGAGAAATTTTAAGGTAAAAAGTTTCCATATTGTGGAATTATGTTTTTGTGTTTGACATGAAAAAAAACCTTTTGGTTTTTGGAAGAAAAAATGTGTTAAAATAAAAAAATTAGAAAAAATTGTGTTTAAAATGAACTAACACATTTTTTTGCAATTATCCAGGAAAAATAATAATTATTTTAGTTCGAAATTTATTACAACATATTTTTAGTTCCAAATTTCACATATCAGAATTGCCAACTTTAAATATTTTGTTAATGAAGTCATTGATTTTTTTTGTTCTGACCTAATCGGATTTTTTTCACTGTGTATGCCATATGAATCTCACATAAATCTTTATTTCGGTTTCCAATTACCTTCTTTTTTATTTGTCAAATTATTTAATCATTGAACCTTGTTAATTTTGCTAATAAATTCAAATGATCACATTATCAAACAATCTTATGACCGACCACCGTCATCATCATTGTCATATTTTTATGTGAGAATTTGTACGTTTTTCTGTCTTATTACTTTAATGATTATTTGACTGTTTATTTGTACAACAATATAATTTAAATAAAATAATTGAAAACAAAACAATAAATTTTATGACGTTGTCTTATTTTTAAGTAAATATTTCAACATGCTTCTCTACAAAAAAAAAAAAAAATAATATTGCATCCCCAAAACTCAGCGACAGCCATATAACGTTTGTGTTTTTCTTGTTCATTGAATTTATGAAGTCATTTCTATTTAAAAAAATCAAATGAATTCAAATGCATTTTCTAAGTAAACACTCACACAGCACAGCGTCCCTGTCAATATGCTTGCAATAAAATACTTGACACAAAATATGTGATTTTTTTTGTGCTTGAAATTTAACCACAACAGAATAACAAATTTGAAATTAACAAAAAAAATCCGAATTTTGAAAAATAAAATTGTATTTTTTGAGATGAGCAAAATGTTTCCCAAATTTATAATTATTTAAAGGAAAATTATATTTCTACTGGCATATGCCCGCTACTTCCTTATCGAATGTGAGAATTATTTATACATGTCCAAATAGTTTATTTTGTTTTCACATAGAACTGCATATGTCAGAAGTGCTAATCAACACAGACCCCAATATTGACCATAATTAAAATTTTAGTGCCATTTAGTCCTCCATATCTCAACACTATACACCAGAGATGGTCCGTCAGAAACAGTGACGTAAATGACATACATTTCCGACGTATAATACATACGTCAGAAACGTCGGAAACCCACCCAAAACCATTAGGTTTTTGACAAAATAGCTGTTTCCATTAATCAATTTGGAAATTACGTGTGCTTTACACAAATCCATATAAAACTTCAAAATTTTCTTTTCCAAAAAGTTTAGAATTGTTATCAGTTCTATTAAGGAATAGTCAGATATATGTAAAAATAATAAATATTCTTGAATAACTGTATATGGTGATAATATTCAAATTTATTACATTTTATACAGGTATATGACGTTTTCGATGTTTACACTTTTTTGAGAGTTGAAAACCTAAAAATTCGTCACACTGGCCATCTCTGCTACACACCAAATCTGACCGCAATACAAACCTAGCACTGTACTAATTTTGGTACCATTTATTAACTTTTGTACTCTTGTATTACTTATTTCCATAACTAATTCAAAATTTCATGATTCGAGCTCTATAGTTCAAAATCCAAAACTGGGTTCATATCCCAATCCCAAACCCCGTCGGTAAGTTTCAGAGTTCTAGCTCTATCTGTTCCCAAATTGCTACGAAATTCCAAAAACCCAGCCTTATCTGAAACATTTGGATTGGATTGAAAATAAAAAATATGAGAATTGCCAGATTTTTTGAACAAACCTCTATGAACTATGAACATCCTTCCAACATCAACGGAATTGATTAGCTAAATTATTCCAGACAATTTAAAACCAAACAAAAAATTGGTATACATTTATATTTCATTTCCCAAAAATTCATCATCACTTGTGTAGAATTTCTGTAAGTTTTCTAAGGAGACGATAAGGGTTAAAGGGTACAGTTTTCCCAACATTCGATCAATAGTTCATCATTTATCATTCCATTCTTTATTTCTTTTATCATTTTCTCTGTTATTATTTCCGCTTTTTTTTATAAATTTTTCTACAATTTGACGCCATTCATATTCCGGTTTTTTCATTCTTTTCTCAAGAAATCATCTCCTACTTGAATTTAATCACATTAATTGTCGGGTACACCAAAACTATTATTATTGAAGTCATACAAAAGCAGAACATCCTCATCAAGAACAAGCCATATAGCGTAGAAAAGCCCAAGCATACAAATAATGTCTACAATTACAGAATAAAAAAAAATCATATATGTCATTATTTTCTTTTGGTGGTTCTGTAAAATGAACTGTCAAATTGACAATTTTACAGTAACACCAAAAAAAGCAAAAAACAAATTGTAATATGGGGGAAATGTACCGGCCGGCGGCAGGGTTTGGCTGTCATGTCTCGTCAACGATATTTAAAAAAATGTAGATCATGGTTGATATGTCAACGAAGACAGACAGACACACAACCAACCAGCCATTCTGACAGACAGACGCACTGTCAGTCATACGTACAAACCAAAGACGAAATTGACAGACAGACAAACAAACAATTTGTTATTAAGAAGCCACTCAAGTTACTCTGGGAAAAAACGATTCAGACACAACCGCCCTTCCACTTTGTCCGCTCATACTATGTGGGGGCTACGTGTGTCATATCACAAATTAAGAATGCTGATTTTGACGGATATATGACAAAAAAAAACCATTCAACAAATCTGGAAAAAATTCAAACTTGACAATAACGACATATAAACTCGAAAAAAGTGCTATTGATATTTTTCCGGTTTAATGTAATAAAAAATAATACCATACAATATTTATACTTAATTTGCTATTGACAAAAAATATTTATTTATTCTTTTTATATCACAAGTTTGATAGCCGTGTGAATTTAAAACCGATTTTTGTGGCAATACGATAATAAAAACTGGTTATCTGATTTCTTTTGCAACGGAAGGAATTTACAGTCAAACAAATTGGGTTTTTAACTATTCTATTTTCAAAAATTATACATATTATGTCGTTGCTCTCTTTCCAATAAAAATTTAAATCAAATTTCAGAATACTAATATTTAAATGTCTATTTCATTAGGATTTTTTATTACAATATCCACTTCTGATGGTTTCACCAAAAGCGAACAAAGCTAGAGAACATAATTTGATAAATTTTAAATAAAATCATGTATACATTATTTTACTTCATACATACATATTTCATTATATAATATAAAGCCAATTATTTATTGAGTTTATTGCACTTCAACACCACCATCTACACACTTCAATGGAAACTGACAAAGGAGATTAAAAAATCGTTGTATAAAATTTAAATCGAAAAATGTCAGTGGCTTGCAAAAAATAAAAACGAAACAAAACAAAACAGATAATCACAATTATATTTGACGTTTCGTAACAGGTACAACAAGACACATTGAATAATAACACAATTAAATAACAACGAAAACAATAAATAAATATTTCTATATAAATATTATGATTGCAATATAAATTCTTGAGAGATGATTTAACTTTGACTTTTTTATGACTGTTATTTTGCAGTGATTGATTGTGGATTTCCCTTTTATATTTTTGATACTTAATCAAATTTACTTGAAGCATAGTTAATTAAGGTTTTAATATTGATCAATAATATCGACAATAAATTGTTCAATACTTTTATAGTCAAGTGTCCAAACAGGAGATGTCAAAAAATTGAGAAAAACATTGAGGAAATTTGCAATATTTTATTTAATATTCAACTACATATTTCCAAAACAAAATATTTTGTAAAAAAAACACACGGTTAATTATTCGAAATTTTAATAAAAAAATGTTTTCTTAATTTACTTTTTCGAATTTTAAGAAAAAAAGCCATTTGTTTTCGTCTTTATATTTCTTAAACATCTATAATTTTTTGCCACAAAAATATAAAACCCACACGATTTACCATTCGAAATTTGAATAAAAAAGTTTTCGAATTTTAATAAAAAAGCAATTAGTTTTTGGTAAATTTATCTTTAATTATTATATTTATATATCGGTATGACTAGTTTCGTTTTTAACGAAAATATGTCAAATGGAATTGAACGTTGTTCCTATAATAGTTGATTTTCTTTTTAGGCGATTATCTTATATATTCTGTAATAAAATTCATATATTAATTGAAAATTGTTTCTTTTCTTTATTTTTTAGCAAATCAAAGATGAACTATGTGAGGTGGTTTCCGAAATGGAGGCACTCGATGTGCCCGAAGATTCTAAACATTCCAATAAAGATAAACAAATGTCGATGGGTCGTAAGAAATTCAATATGGATCCCAAAAAAGGTAAGCAATATTATATTTTTGTTTTTCAAATTTTTGGAAAACAGAAAAATGACTCTTACATAAAATTCATAAATGTATATCAAATAAGTTCAAAGTAGACAGGCTCAGAATCGTAAAAAAATTTGACAATTTTTATTTTTGAGGAAAATTTTACCCCTAAAAGCAGACCAATATATCATATTAGACCCAGTTCGATGGTAAAACTTGCAGAAAATCCCTAAATGACAGAAAAATCGATATATGAGGTCAACCACAAAACATGGGCCAGTATTGATTATTTTGTTAGGGAGACTTCACAACCATTGGAAACACAAAATATAAAATTGTAGCCATTTCGGTCAACCACAAAACATGGGCCAGTATTGATTATTTTGAATATTTCAATTTTCTAATTCCGTAAAAATGTTAATTACATTTAGACATGTCCGTCTATAGTTTGAATTTAACTGTCAATATTTAAGATAAAGCTTGGAAACTTTGCTAGAGTATTAATATAATTCCCAGAATGTTTGGTATTGGTGACGGGATATATTGGTCGGAATTTCATGATGGGAATCAGTAATTTTCATTTCATAACCAAATATCTATAACTCAGACTTTCGAGTTTGTAAATTCGATAATTCTCAGTGTTAAGCTATATCCCAGGGTGTGAAGAATGATTAAAACACACTCTTTCTCACGAATGCTCACGGCGAGAATTCGAATGTTTTCAATTTATCGCGAATGATAAAGTTACAATGAATGAACAAGCATTTGCATTCTCTCGCGAATATTCGCATTGTACGAAAAATTCACGAACGATAAAATTTCTCTACAAGCGTCGTCGATTCGTTCTTTCGCGAGCAATTGTTGCCGAAGAACATTCTTTTAAAAAACTCAAAAAACAAATGTTCACGAATGCTCGCGAGCGCTGTTAAAAACAACAACAAATAAAAATATCATAAAAAAATAAACACACACAAACAACGAAAGAATGTGTGTGTAGCAGAAAATGTGTGGAATAACAACTACTGAGTTCACGAACGTTTGTTGTTATTGTTGTTGCTGTTTTGAGCATTCGCGAGAATTCGGGAATGTTTGTTTTCATTCGTGAGAGAATGTCAGAAAGAATTTTAACCACCAAAAGAAACGAACGATCGTTGTTGTGTGCTCTCACTCGTTTGTTATGTGTGTGCGAACATTCTTTGAGCACGAAACGAAAATAATGTATTTTACTTAATTCGCGAGCTAATTTTTGCGCACCCTGGTCATCACACCAGTACATACATTTTCAGAACACATTTTTCTTGTAGTGATGGATTTGTTTCCATACTACCTAAAATATTTTTTTTTCAAGATATACAACTGTATATTGTACAACCTTAGGAAGATAAGGCTTTGAACGTTAAAGCACCGAACAACCATAGGAACCAGGGTTCATATCATAGCCTAGCTGATTTTTTTTTTCGAAAAAACTCAAAAAATGTAAATGTTTTTATTTTTATTCCTGTCAGTTGGAAGATCATTTTATCAATATCGCTCATTTGCTGCAAGATGGGGATAAAAAATGATTTTTTTTAAGAGGAACTTCCAAACCTTCTCTACTATCACTTCCATTTTTCCCTTCCGAATTACCAGCATTTATACTTCACATTTTATTAAACTTTTTTGTTTGCTTCAAACCACAACACGTGTTAAAATAATTAAAATAATTATTTGTTTACTTTTGTTTAAGTGTAGTATAGTCAGTCACACACACACATGTCTACAAACATTGCTGAAATGTTCGCAATGCGTTAACAGATAAAATAAATCATCACTTATTAATTGTATGCCTCGAATGACGTCAGTTCGTGTTGTGGAATAACACTTTTTAATACTTCAATGTTGTGTTTTTGTTTACCCATTCCAATTAGTTTTTCTCCCCCATCGAAATGAAAATGTTTACAATGTCGTTTATGCCACACGCATTTTGCACATAGTTATGTTGAGTTTTTGCATAAAATTGGAGGGGAGATTTGGTTTCACTTGTTTATACAGTGGAGAACAAAATTGTGTATACTTAAAAAAATTACGAACGGATCTTATGAATTATTTTCATAATTATTGAGTTATCAATCAATTTAATGAATGATTATTTTTTACTTATTTTGCTATAATATTTACAAATTCTGTTATTCTGTTAAAAATTGTGTCTGTCAGTGTACACCTTCTTTTAAAGGAAGCGTAAACACTCAAACATAAATGAAGGGTATAATAAAAGGTGTTTTGTAATAATGTGCAAAAATTTAATATACCAACAACAAAGCTATTATATTTCACAGCAGCAACAACAACAACAAAAAATTATCAAAGTAATTTCAACATTAATTTAACAACTTAATAGGCATAAATTCCCAAGACAAAGAGAGACACACAAATGGGAAGATGATGGTGGCCAATCTTCCACCCTTTCAGTGAGAATTACATTTTACAAAGAATACCGACGCCCTTTGGTTTGAAAGGCAGGCGGCAGCCAGCCAGTCAGTAGTGCCGCTGACAAAACGCCGGCATTATTTTCATTAAATGTACCCATATGGTGGCATGTTATAATTCAATTACACATTCAATCTCGCAAGCAAATATATTCCATGGCACAAAGATCAGTTTGTCTTCTCACCCACATTCCAAATATAGAAATGATGATTATGATGTTAAGGAACCAAAAAAAAACAAAAACTGTAACATCCACCATTACACGATTATGTACATATACAATTTATATATTTTTTTTTTGACAAATTTGACAGTTCGTTGACATTTGATTTTCTTTTCAAAAAAAATCAAGCAACCACAAAAGGTGGCTATCCGTTTGTTGCAAGCACAAACGTGAGCCACTCCTTGCGACAATATTTCTTTGAAGAGACGACAGGTACCATACAAAAAAACAACATCATCGGCTGGATATATGCGCGATGTGATGTTGTTGAATCTATACCACGTACGTACACGGTCTTTTGGATTCTTTCCTTCTGATGATGGCTGAATTATTATTATATGCCCAACATGGAATGTGTCAATTGAAATATTGCGTAGATGATTATTATTTGATAAAAATCATGCATGGTCCGCTGTCATTATATGACAGTGACAGTCGACAACCATCATCTCTCTCTCATACTAACGATGCGACAATTTGTCACTAATGGATTTTTTTAAATTTGTATTTGTAAATTCGGTTATTGGTGGTGGTGACAATGACACTATAGTTTTGTTTAATTTATTATTTTATATTCTTTTTAATAGCCTTAAAATGAAAATTATTTGTTGACATGTTTGAAGAGGATTATTATGATGGGGGTCATTTGTCATTAGATTATTATTGTGAACTAATGATGATGGCAAAGATATACAATCATAAATTTATGATTATTTCAATGCACAATAAAATGTGATTTGTTGTTGTATTATTTGAGGGTTATTTGTCATACAAAATGTGATAGATTTGATATTTAGATAACCAATCTATGTGTATCTAATTTTTTCCTATATGTAATCCGATGTTAATATTGAAGTTCTAATGAGTTCAAAGACAATAGGTATGGACGATATTTTCATGTTTTACATATTTTTGTGTTAAAAGTAAACCTTTTTTTATACTGATGGTATTTTTAAGCCAAATATGATGTAGACAATGAAAAAATAAGAAATTAAATTATTGGACCAAAATAAAAAGCGGATAACTTTGATATTTTAATTGAATAAAAAATCGAAATAAAATAACAGAAACAAATTTTTAACTGAAAAATTATACAAGATACAAAGTAAGTTAGACTAACCTGCACAAACCACACTTGCATTTATTTCTGTGCAGGAAAGTCAAAAATGCAGATATCTTAAATATCTTAACTGCCTCGAGGTGCACATATAAAAATAAAAATATGTCACTGTTAATTTTTTTGATGCGCCTTCAACGCTAAGTATCTAATGAAACAGATGGACTATTGTTTTTAACGAATATATTTACTGCATTAAAAACAAAAGTCCTAGTATGTGTTATGTACTAGGCAGCTAATAGAAAACGACTGTATAGGAAAAATCACAAAAAAAAGTCTTCTACAAAAACATGCCTTTCGTTCTTAATATAAAAATGGAAATTAATTAAACCTGTGTACATTGATAACGAAATATATGATGGGTTCTAAAAAATTATAAATAAAAACATTAAATTATTACTTCCACGAACTAAATATCGCTGACTTGACGTGAAAAGGCAATAAGTCCACTTTTCTAGAAAATTAGATTTTGATACAGACACGTTCAATAATACAAAAATACATCAATTTAATAAAAAATGCAATTACTTCATTTCTTGTTGTTCTGTAATGATGAGTAAAGTCCAACTTATGACATGCCATTGGCTGTTTTTTGTCCTAAAATATGGCCTTATTGCCATTACATGTTAAGCCAGCAATATATCTAAGCATGTTTATACCCTACAAAACTATGTTGTCAGGGTATTATAGCTTTGTGCAGCCTCAAGAGTTTTTAACGCCGCGAAATATTGGTCCTAGACCCACCTTTAAGTATACCGATCGTCATATCTCGACTAGCTGAGTCGATCTAGACATGTGTGGCCGTCCGTCCGTCTGTCCATTATAATTTGTAAACACGATACAGGCCACTGTTATGGACCAATCTTCACGAAATTTGGCATGTAGGATGGGTTCAGGCCAATGAAGACCCCTATTGTTTTTGGTAAAGATCGGTTAAAAACTTTTTTGTCGGTTTTTCTAGTCGCTCAAGAGGTCTCAATTATGGCCCAAACTTCGCGAATTTTTACAGGGAGAAGGAGATCGGCCCAAAGAATAAGCTTGCCTATTTTGATAAAAATCGGTCAATATATAGCGGGTCAAATGGACCCTGACTTTTGTGTGAAAAATTACAAAATTTGTATTGTATGGCGAATATATTTACCCCTGAAGGATATAGACCCGAGAAGTTGATAGTGTATCGAATAGGAGTGGTTGGCCTTTAAATCA